ACACACTTGGCCACGATACCATGTGACCAGGCATCTGCCCTGCTTACCTAGCCATGGACTTGGCCATGGAACTTGCTTTGATGCATCAGATGCTGCAGGGATGACCTTGGCCAGTGGGGCCACTGTTTTGGTGCTCTGTTGCCGTGAACAGAATGTGCCCAAGGCAGCACCTTTGTCCAGCCTGAGCCCATGGCCAGCTGGCAGGGAGCCACCCTGTCTGACCCCAAGCTGGACTGGTCCCCCCAGCCCACCACACACTGGAGGGTGGGGTAATTCTGAGTGCTCTCCGAGTCTCTCGTGGTAGCTATGGCCTCGGTTAGTCCTTCTCTGACCAGGCAGGTGTGCTCAACTCTTGACTGAGAAGTCACTGATTTAAACCCACCCAGGGTATCTGTGCAGAAAGGCCTGGCAATCTCCTTCTTGGAGGTCACAGCCACGAAACCCTGGATCAGACTCTCGCTTATACACCTGTCACACCTCTGGCCTCAGTTAACTATTTGTAAAATGAGGGCAACACAGCTTCCCACCAAGATGTGTCAGGAGCCCAGTGCAGGGATGAAGTGCCTGGCCACCAGCAGAGGGTTTGAGGTTTGAATTCACCACTGGCTCCTCAGGAGAGAGATGTGCCGCCTTCTGCCAGGAGACTGACAGCCTGGGGGGTCTGTGTGGGGCAGGCTGCGACGTCCTACAGGGCTGGGTGAGCCCGCTGACCCTGTGCCTCCTCACAGCAAAGCTTGGTAGCCTTGCGGCCCTAGGATTGTCCCAGGGCCCCACGCTGCCCATTCATGGACAGACCAGCCTGTCCTCAACATGATGATGCCCGCTCTTCACACACAGGGAGACACCCCTCCCCCCATAGAGACTACCCTTCCCCAACACATGGAGACCTTCTTCTCCCCAGCCATGGAGAGGCCCTCCTGCCCCCTACATGGAGATGCCCTCTCTCCATGCACAAGAAGACCTTCCTGTCTCCCCACAGGGAGACCCCCTTCCCCTCACACACGAGGACACACTTGTTCCCACTCACAGGGAGACCCCACTTGTCCCCCATATGGAGCCCTCCTCTCCTCAACCACAGGGAGATTTGCTTGAACCCTCCACAAGAAGAGCCTTCCCCACATGGGGGCACACTTATCCCCACCCAGAGTGAGATTGCCTGTCTCCACCCAGGGAGACCTCTGTCTCCACCCACATGGACATGGCCTTGACCCATTCATGGGGAGATCCTCCCTCCCCCTCCCATAGGGAAACCCTAGGTCACCACCCCCATGTCCCCATCCACGGGGAGCCCTGTCTGTCCCCAGGGGGGAGTGTCTGGGTCAGAGAAGGGGTCCGCACACACAAAGGCCCCACAACCACAAGGGCAGCCAGGGGCCTTAATAAAGTCTTCCTGTCTGCCCTGTGTCTGGCACAGGGTCCCAAAGACTCCCCAGCACCCTGGCCCAGCTGCAGCCCGCAGGGTGCCCTCTCTCCACAGGAGCAGGATGACAACCCCCTTCCTTAATGGCAGCCATTGGCAGTGAAACAGGAGTGACATTTGGTGGCATTTGGAACATTTGAGCAGAGAAAATGAGAAGAGAGTGCATCTTGTAAGCTCCAGACAGAAAACAGGGCTATTTGTCACCAGGTGAAAATTACCCCATCTCCAGAGGCCCTCCCCCACATGGGGGTCCCACACACCCCCAGGACTCCCCAGTCAGCATCCCCAAGCCCATGGGACACAGGGAAAGGGTTATCCTCCTCTGCCCATGCCCACCTCCCTGCTCACCGTTCCAGCTCCCTGCCATCTGATCAGCGGGAACACAGACCTCATTCCCCCCCTCTTATTCCCCGCCTCAGCAGGCCCCCAATGGACAAGGTACTGCTGGATCCACTGGGAAAGGAGCAGAGGGGGGTGTGAGAGTCTGTGGGGAGTGCAAGTGAGAAGTCAGGTGGGCTCCCTGGAGGTGGTGACCCTAGGAGGTTGTATGGCTTCCTGGGAAGAATGGCAGACCTGTTGTCCCTACCTCTCAGCTGGGTGACTTTCAACAACTCCCATCCCTCTGATCCCCAACCCCCTGGAGGGCTGCAGATGCTGGCTTCCACAAATAACCCCAGCCCTTGAACCTGAGCACCACCAGTGGCACCTCAGGCCACGTCCACACATTGTCTGACCCCAGAAGACGCCAATCTCGAGATCAGGAAGAGCCCAGACGTTTGCCTGGGTTCCTGCCCCTGCCCTCCATCCAGCTGGCTTCATTCACTCTGTCTGCCCTGCTGGCCACCCACAGGGACAGTGACAACAGAGTAGAAACGGACCCCATCACCGGACCAGCCCTGAGAGGACAGTTGTCTTGCCTGGTCACAGCGAGCTGGTGGCTATCAGATGGAGCAAGCCCCACCTGCACACCCCCTGCCCTTTCGGGCCTGACCTGGCCCCTCTTATTGTTGTTAGGTGCCGTCGAGTCAAGCACGACTCACAGCTCTCCACGAACGACAGACCTGAACCTTGTCCTGTCCTGTGCGGTCCTCATGGTCTCAGCACCATGCAAGACCTACCAGTGCATCGAGTCACTTCTCAAAAACGGTCAGGAACGTATGATTAGGCATGACCTGTGTGACAACAGTCCAGAATCAGGGGTGTGCAGCAAGTGGACAGGGAAAGGGGTGGGGCAAGGGAGGAAATTATGCAACAATGAATGTGTGTTTTTAAAAAGTGAACTAGAGGGGGAAGGGAGGGAAACGTGCAACAATTAGCGGGTGGAAATCCAACTTTTCTGTAAACTTTCACTAAAATTACAATTTAAAAAACTAATTTTTTTTTTTATAAACCAAAACCAAAAGTGGTCAGGTGCTGAGAATTGTCCTCCGTCCTCCTGGGCTTGTCTCTGAAAGGTGCAGAGAGGATTCTTGGGAGTGCCTGGCTGGCCCCATGCTGACCAGTGGACAAGGACACTCAACAGGGTCAGAGCTAGTGACTGACAAGTCACTCAGCTCAGGAGAGCACCAGGGCAGCTGGGCCCCCCAGCTGGAGGGCAGCTGGGCCCTCCGGCTGGGGGCGATCCCTTCAGGGGTCACCAGGGCAGGCAGGGGACTCACGAGTAACCCCCATGAAGGTCTGAGGCCTCAACAAGGAACCAGAAGCCCCAGACCAAACCCCAGCTCTGCCGTTGATCCCTGAGTTACAGCAACCCTGTAGGACGCGTGGAGCTGCCTCATGGGGCTCATTGTCCCTTCTCCACCTAACCAGCCTACCCTGCTGACAGGCATGGGGCTGGAGGAGCGCATAGGACGCCCCGTGGATGCCACAAGATCAAACAATCAACCCTGGAGGAAGTGCAACCAGGGTGTTCCTCGAAGCACGGCTGGTGAAACCCCGTCTCACACGCTGTGAGCGTGTTGTGAGGGTCAGTCCTCGGGAAACACGCCGTGCTGGGAACGGAGGAATGTGGGGGAAGGAGGAGGCCCTTCTACAGGGTGGACACAGTGACTGCATGGGGCTCGAGCCTGTCAGGGATCTGAGGATGGGGCAGGACCGGTCAGGGCTCAGGGCTGTTGTCCACGGGGTCTCTGAGTCGTGGCTGGTTCGACAGCACCTGACAGCAAGCCTGCTTGTCGGTGACATGGAGGTGAGGACACAGCACGCGGGGCAGGCCATGACACTGGGACACAATTCTGATATGGTTCACCTCAAACAGGTGGAGTGTGGGAAATGCAGGCGGTCCCTCCTGACGATCCCTTTAGGCCATCGAGGGGGTGTCCCTGGCATGGGCCACTGTGGTGCCAGGCCAGCACTGTCCTCTTCCCCTTGCGGAGCTCCTCAGGCAGGGGCTGAAACAGCCCTTGAGCTCCTGCTCCATCCTCCTGAGGGACAGGTGGGCCTACCGGATGCCTTGTCATTGCGGGGCCTCTGCAGAAGGACCTTCCCAGGAGGTCAGAACGAGTCTAATGATGTGAATCTCGGCCGTTTTCCACTGAAGGGTCAGTACGTGTCCCTGGCAGGCCCGCTCAGCCATGGCTCCACACACGCCCTCAGGCTGCTCTGGTCAGGACCTCACTGGCCTCATTCTGGGTGGTGATGTGTAACATTGAACTGGAACCGACCCGTCGCTGACACTCCAGCAGGTTTTCAGAGACAGGTAACCGCATGGGAAGAGATTGCTCATCAGTCTCCTGCACAGCAGCTGGTGGATTCAAACCCTGTGCCTTCGGGATTGCACTGCAGCTTCTGACCACTAGGCCGCCGGAGCTGGGCTGATCCCACCTGTGGCCTGTGACTCCGGTACAATGAAGAAGAGGCAGCTTCGCAGGTCCTCAGTCATCGTCACAGCGGCCAGCACTTCCAAGTCTGTCCCTGAACCTGCGTGTCCAACCATCTGGTTGAGGGCCTTCCACCACGGCTGACCTCTAAGTCACCAAAGAGGGTGCCTTTGTCCGGCCACGGACGCATCTGAGTAAGAAGTCAGACCGTGTGCAGTGTTCACTGGCTGGGATGTGGAGGTAAATCTCCTCGTCTGACGAACTCAAGGTGATGGTCGTTCTGTGCTGAAGAGTCAGAACTGACCCATCGCAGACCCTCCAGCGGGTTTGCAGAGGCAGTTAATCACACGGGAGGGGACTGCCCATCCTCCTCGTGTGCAGCAGCTGATGGATTCGAACCACATGCCTTTGTGTCTGAAGCGCAATTCCGCACACCTCCTCCTACTCAGGGAGCATCTTCAGGGCCGGCCCACCGTGGCCAGCTCTGCCGTGCGGGAGACCCCAGTGGGCAGCCTCCAGATCCCCAGCTCCCCACTCCATGCCTCACCTCCTCCTCGAAGGCGATTTTAAGACCCTGACATCCACTTCATCCTCCTCCAGCCCGAGGTAAACATGCCCACTTGATTCATGGGCAGTGTTTTGCAGAGCAAGGTTTTATAGTTTGTCCTTTTAAATCATTGTGAGGTTGAAATAAAAACGGAGGCCCGTCATGCTTAGTCTTTGGGCACACGGTGTTCTTGCACTTCCCTGGAATAGCCACAATGACCCTCGGACACTCGGACACAGCCCGGTGGTTCCTGCACCTGTTCCCCCCCCCCATCTCCACCCCGGTACTGTGCACGCTGTTCCCACACCTGCCCCCCCTCCCACTGCTCACTCTGTTCCCATACCCACCCATCCTCCCCACTGCTCACCTTCCCACACCTGCCCTGCCACACACACACACACACACACTGCTCACATGGTCCCATACCTGCCCATGACCCTCAACACTGCTCACCTTCCCACACCTGCCCCCCTCCCACTGCTCACTCTGTTCCCATACCCACCCATCCTCCCCACTGCTCACCTTCCCACACCTGCCCCGCCCGCCCACACACACACTGCTCACATGGTCCCACACCTGCCCATGACCCTCAACACTGCTCACCTTCCCACACCTGCC